TGTGTGTGTGTGTGTGTGTGTGTGTGTGTGTGTGTGTGATGTGTTGACGATCTGGGGAAACAATAGCCTGAATTCTCTTTTCCTTCATGTTGTTGAGCTGTCCCCTGGATTCCTGAGATTAGACCTTGACCTACATGGTTAGCCAGTAAATTAGCTTCTCGATCTCTTTGCCTGTTGGTACAAGCAAAATAAGCCCATCCCCCTGACTGTGAGAATATTATGGCAGAGGATTTAAAATGGATGAAAAGAGAGGTGGGTAATAAATAACGCTGCGGGGGTGCCCCAGGAAATTCAGGAAACCTCCTTCAGCCTCAGCGGACTTAATTCTCAAGTGAGGATTTACTTCCTGTAGATCTCAGAGACTTTTTGTGATGATCCAAACTGACCGCTAGGGGGCGCCTGGGTGGCTCAGTTAGTAAGCATCCGACTTTGGCTCAGGTCACCTTATGATGGTTCCCCTTGAGTTTAAACCCTGCATCAGACTCTCTGCTGTCAGTGCAGAGCCTGCCTTTGATCCTCTGTCTCCCAATCTCTCTGCTCCTCCTCCACTCATGCTCTCTCTCTCTCTCTCTCAAAAATAAGTAAAACATTAAAAAAAAAAAAACAGACCTAGAAAATTCACAAAACCTCCTTCAGCCTCAGCTGAAGGAATTCTCAAGTGAGGATTTACTTCTGTACATCTCAGAGAGCTTTAGTGATGGATGATCCAAAATGATAGCTGGCTCCAGGCAGCCCTACGGACTCCTCACTCAACTAGAACCCAGGCAGCGGGAGAGGACGGGGTGGTGAGGAGTTTCCTGAGCAGTAAGTCAATAGAGGTGTCACATCTGCCTGGAAGTGCTCGCCCAGACCTCAGGGGTTGGCCCATCCTTCCGGAAGTGTTCGCTTTCTGGCTCCAACCACAGTGAGTGAGGAGATGACCGCACAGGAAGGTGTCCTGTCACGGGGAGGACAGGGTGGAGTGAAGGTGGCTTCGTATGGGCCGCCAGGCCCCAGCAGGGTGAAGAGAGTGTCTTCACAAAGAGGGTGTCCTGGAAAAGGGCTCAGAACCAAGAGAAACAAATGTGTTTTAAGGGGGAGGACAGTTTGGGTGATGACATCATTATTAGCAACGTGCTGACACATTCTCTGTAAATAATGTTTTTAAATTCTCTACGGATAACACACCCCCATATCACCTGTATCCTGAGGTGACAGCCTCCCCATCCTCCTCCGTCTGGCCTGTGTTTGGTGTGCCTCAAGCATGACTGCACGCTGAGATGAATACATACGTGAAATAAAAAGGGCAATTTTGAGAAGTGGGATCTTTACGCAGTAGTGGAGTAGTTTCCACAAAAGGGGTATTAGTTCAAAAGAGAGACAGAGCTAACTGTATGGGGGGAAAGTCTGGCCCACACCATCTTAACCACATGATCTGAGTGACGTCGTCGTTACCGAGCTGAGTTGAAACCGGGGCACTTGCTAGAACACAGCATCGTTTTCTGATGTTCCTGCCAGTGTTGCAGGACCTGACTCTAATCCTGAGGCAATACATCAGAAAAACAGAAACCGAGAGACATCCTCAACTAACCTGTTATCACCAAAAAGTGTCAAGGTCCTGGAAGTTAAGGAAAGACTTTGGCACTGTTTCAGATTTCAGGAGATGAGACATGAATACTAAATGGAACACGCAATCTCAAACTGGAAACTTTTGCCATAAAGGACACTACTGGGGCACATTTGGCAAATTTTGTGCAGGGCCTGAAGGTTATGTGGAGTTATGGTATCAGTGTTAATTTTTCTTTTCCTTCTTCCCTCCTCCCTCCCTTCCTCCCTCCCTTCCTCCCTTCCTCCCTTCCTCCCTT